ATTCTGAAGTTGAGCCTTCACAATTTCTTTTTAAGATATTTTACCGTCTTCCATATCAAAGAATACCGCGCGTCTCGTACGACGTCGCTGGTTGGTTAATATATATGACTACAAAGATTCAAGTATTTGGAGCCTGACAATGTACAAAAATTGAGTTACGTTCTGCGAGACGGTAAATGTACAAAAAAAATGAGATTTCTTTGACAGTGCTTAAATCTGTTAGTATTTTTCTACAATTCTGAAATGGGACCCCCCCATATATATATATATATATATATATATATATATATATATATATATATATATATATTCAAATAGGTTTGGTTAAATAATTTAGACATATCATGTCGATTAGTTTTCGTGGTTATCCTTTCAATTTCGCAGATTCATTTTTTGATAGAAAAATGCCAAAATTTTCCTTCGATTAAGTTTTGTTTTCCAAGTACTTTCAATCTCATTTGAGACCATCTTCAAGGGTTTAAGTTGTCTGTGAGCATGTATATGTGTTTTTGTGAATTTAAAACATTTCAACTGTTCGTTTTTTTTACTGCTTATGCAGCGTTCTAGATTTCAAATTTCAAAGTCCACGTGTTCGAAATGTTTTAAATTCACAAAAACACATATACGTACTTACAGACAACTTAATCTCTTGAAGATAGTCTCAGATGAGATTGAAAGTACTTGGGAAAATACAAAAACTATTCGAAAGAAAATTTTGCTATTTATCTTACTCAATTTTCTAAGTCTACCAAAAAAAGAAATCGTGAACTTGAAAGGATCACAACGAAAACTAATCGACATGACATCTCCACATTATTTAACCAATTTGATTGAACATATGCTGCCTCAGTATACACAATATATATATATATATATATATATATATATATATATATATATATATATATATATATATATATATGTACATGAATCCAGATCCGTTATGAATGAATTGATCCTTGTTTATATAAATTTCTGCCGTATTAGTTGTTATTTTGACAGAAAAATTTACCAGTAAAAAATTCGTTCATCACCATATTTGGTATAAACGCAAACACTTTAAAAATTTAAAATCAAACTCAGCGTTGCTTTGGCGCGTTCCAAAACCAATAACTCTTTTTCAATAGCATTTTCGGATACAACAACACATATATTTTCGTTGTCCTCTTATTACTAAGAGAAAAAAACAAGAACAACATCTCTATTCTATACCTGAAGATGTCTGTAGGAACAGACGAAAGCTTGTAGTAAAAATAACAACTAATACGGCAGAAATTTATATAAACAAGAATCAATTCATTCATAACGGATCTGGAGGTTTTTGTATACCATTTGAATTGTTTGGGATGATGGATGTCTCGCCATTTAAAGCATTAACCTTTGCATTAGTTTTGTGTGAATAATTCATGTATTTGTAAATTGATTGCACGTTTATTGTAATATATATATATATATATATATATATATATATATATATATATATTGAACATATGCTGCCTCAATACATATATATATATATATATATATATATATATATATATATATATATATATATATAACAGAAATTCTCAATGAAGAACTCTATTGCTATTACCGTTGACAAAATTAATATTAGAATTAGAGTGTACACTTTTAATATGAATAAGGATATAAGATGACCATGTGTATTTAATGCCGTCAGATTGGCATATCTTCGTTTCGCCTTTTCCCGATCAATACGGATACTGAACAATCTCTGTTCGTTTTCTTTTCTCTTAAAATGTATAAGGATGATAATCATGTCTAAAATACTATTGTAATGAGAATAGAAACAGTAGGAGAAAAGACAATTGCTATTACGACTAGTAATATTCATAGCATTCGTATGAACAGAGTACGCTCATAGCATAATGAAATTCGTTCTAACAACTGTTATGGGTCGCTTGCAAACTTCCGTTTAAAGTAAATAAAAGTTCCAAAGAACGTGGGAAGTTTGCCAGATTAGATGCAAATGAAAATCACTTAATTTCAATACTGTTTCGCAGTGTGAGTTTGTCTCACTGGTTTCCAAATTTTGATAATTCGGTTTTCCTATCCGTTTCCTGAATTTTTTAACAGTTTTATTAAACATCAATGGCGATCATTAACACTACGTATAAGCTGGCACAGTATTCATCCCTGAGGAGTTTACACCTTTTAATCTGTTTGGGTGTCACCTCTTATTTCATTAAACAGACGACTTTTTTTCTATCAGACATATTAGCTCTCGGAATGTGTCTAATATAATTTACCGATATTTGAGTGTAAGATATAACGTTTTTTTTTTCTTAAGGAAAATTAAGTAATGGATACACATTAAATAATTAACATTTATAGCTATCAGTTACTTTTCAAGAACTGTGCCGTGTTCCTTCAGGACGTGGGCGATCATAGCACTCCACAACTATCTATTCTTTGTAGTTCTTAGTCATTTTTTTTACTATCCTACTTACTCCCTCATCTGCAATTCATTCACAAAAGATTTATTGCTAGGTTACTTTCTTGTTTTCCTCTGTCTTTTTCACCTTAGTAGATCCTGTGAAAGTCAAGTTGTCGAAGTTCTTTCTTTACTGTGTATACCTAAAATATCAACTGTCTCTTTCTGGTTCTCAATATATATTTTTCTTTTGTTTTCCTCAAAACTTTCTCGTTGCTCACATGCTTCGTCCATGGTATTCCCAGCATCTTTTTGTAGAACCACATCTCTCTGTTGCCAACATTCAATGCGATAAATGTTGATGGGTACTACATAACTGTTTAACACTCCTTTCTTTCTATCTATCGATATTATTCTGTTTCTTAATACTTTGTTTAGCTTTTGGAAGTCATCTTTCGCTATTCCAATGCTCTTTCCTATTTCAGTGTCGCAATTTCCGTCCTCTGTTAAAACACTTCCCAGATATTTTACTGTTTCTTAATACTTTGTTTAGCTTTTGGAAGGCATCTTTCGCTATTCCAATTCTCTTTCAGATTTTGGTGGTGCATTTTCAATATTCTGTTAAAACAATTCCCGAGTTTCTTTGCGAGATTATTACATCTCCAATTCGGTACCTTACATCTAAGGCTGCTCCTGTTGCTGATGACCTTACATAAAGGTTAGACCATCTTCCCGCTTTTTTCGGGCTTCTTAAGTCAATATTTGTATTGATTTTGCTATTTTAGGATGGAGTAGCGCTTTTTACCTTTTGGGTGATCATCTTCAGGTTTATTATCTATAAAGAAATATTTTCTTCCTCTTTCTTCAGTATTTATTCTTTAAGTTTGTCGAAAACTAAAGAAAATATTACACACGACTAATAGAGTGATTAGGCAAGCGCGGTTTTTCATGGAACCTGACAATGAGGCAGTTGCATTCGTTGATCTAATGAGGAAATATTATACCATTTAATTCTTTGACTATATGCCGTGTCCCTTTAGGTCGTGGGCGATCCGTTCTTTCCATAATTTCCTGTCCTTAGTAGATTCTACCATTGCACTGTTTTCCTCTGCTCCTCTTTCAATATGTCCTGTGAGTGTAAAATTTTTAAAGTCCTCTTACCTCACCATCTACTCTAAAAATTCCAACTGTCTCTTTCTGATGTTACGTTTAAGTGTTCTTTTTGGTTTCCCTTTTCTTTGAAACTTCGTCGCTGCTCACACGTTCAGTCCATGATATTCTCAGCATCCTTCTGTAGAGCCAAATTTCTGTTGCCTCAAGTATCTTCATCTGTGAGGTGATTGTCAAGAAGTCGCAAGTACTTTCATGGCAACTGCTCCGACGAACTACTTTCACTGGTTCTCAAAATGGAGGAATTTACGGGTGTTCCTAGGTCGGCATCACGGTTCCACCCTTTCACTGTCGAAACGACTAAATGTAGCCATCTCTTCTACTCCAACAGCTTCTTATCTCGCACCTTCCGTCAATGGTACTTCCTTCCTATCACTTGCTTCCCTGATAGCTATAATCTTCAAATATTCAAATGTAATGTCAATCGACATCTTCTGATCCCTTGATCTTGACCCCTGTCCCTCTCTTTATACTCTTCCCAAACACTTTTCTTTAATCTTACTCTCACTCTCTGTAACCCCTTGAGTGCTAGTGGCACTCCTGCCTTGCTTGGGGCGAATTGCTTAAAAAATATATAGGAGGACTGATGTTATGTAACAGTTCAGTACTCTTTGTTTCTGACGAAATTTTTCTGTTTCTTAATACTTTGCTTAGCTTTGGAAAGCATCTTTCACTTTGGTTAACGTTCGTATATAATGTCTACTCGTACCTAATTCGTAAAAGACACTTAGCTTAAAAGCGGTTTATTTGATGGAAGATGGGAATGCAGATTCACAATTTGTCTGATTGGAACTTTCTCCTTATCAATGGAATATAAAGGGAATGAGTGCATACAGTGTACGTAGCATGGCGTGTCCGGGTGGTGAATGTTTTGAATGGTGGAACCAAGGATATAATTCGCTTGAACATCTGTCATGAAAATGTTCGGGCCATATACAAATATCGACTGTAATTTAGCTAAAAGATTCAAGAAAAATGAATGCATAGTGCTACAATTTTCTGGAAGTCAAATTTAATCATTTTGTTTAGTAAAATTTCTAGAATGAAGCATAAAAACTCGATATATAAGGATAGATATTCTTCAAAGAAGTCTGAAATGGCAATATATTTAGAATGTTGAAATACACTTACCAAATGAATGGTAGATATAATAATTGTCTGTTTTCTACTTTTTTGTCATAACTAATTGATATGATACAGGATTTAAACTTTGCTGTTTTCACGTTTCTTTATTTTCAAATGGTAATCTTTCATTGGTTGCATTTCTTTTGTACAATTTTCGGTTTTACTTGGTTTGTATTCTTTTATTTTTGAGGGAATTTCACTGATTTTCTTTCGTTTTCTTTTCGTCTATTTCTCTTTTAAGCTCTTTTATCCCACATTATATTATGTCTTTTCATGTTTTATTTTACATAACGGAGATATCTTTTCACTCATGCTTTCTGTTTTTATTTCTTTTGTATGCTCTTCTTCTACTTCTTTCTTTCTTTCTTTCTTTCTTTCTTTCTTTCTTTTGCATGGTCTTCTTTCTTTCTTTTTTTCTCTCTTTTCTATCTTTTTCTCTTTTTCTTTTGTTTATTTATCTTCTTTCTTTCTTTTATTCTCTTCTTTTCTATCTTTTGTATGCACTTTTTCTTTTTTTTCTTTCTTTTTTCTTTTAGTATGCTAATCTTTCTTTTTTATACTTTTCTTCTTTCTTTTTAGCATTCATTCTTTCTTTCTTTCTTTCTTTCTTTTGCATGCTCTTCTTTCTTTCTTTCTTTTTGTATTTCTTTCTTTTTTTTGCATGCTATTCTTTTAGCATTCATTCTTTTTTTCTTCTTTCTTTCTTTTTAGCATTCTTTCTTTCTTTTTTTTATACTTTTCTTCTTTTTATTTTTCTTCTTTTTTAGCATTCATTCTTTCTTTCTTTTTTTTTTTTGCATGCTCTTCTTTCTTTCTTTCTTTCTTTCTTTCTTTTGTATGCTATTCTTTCTTTTTTACTTTTCTTCATTCTTTTTTTCTTTCATTCATTCTTTCTTTCTTTTGCATGCTCTTCTTTCTTTCTTTCTTTCTTTGTTTTGCATGCTATTCTTTCTTTTTTTTTTACTTTCTTTTCTTTTTTTTTTTTTGCATTCTTTTTCTTTCTTTTTTTATACTTTTCTTCTTTCTTTTTTTTTTTCTTTCTTTCTTTCTTTTTCTTTTTTGCATGCTCTTCTTTCTTTCTTTCTTTCTTTCTTTCTTTTTTTGCATGCTTTTCTTTTTTTTTTATACTTTTCTTCTTTCTTTTTAGCATTCTTTTTCTTTTTTTTCTTTCTTTTCTTCATTCTTTTTAGCATTCATTCTTTCTTTCTTTTGCATGCTCTTCTTTCTTTCTTTCTTTCTTTGTTTTGCATGCTATTCTTTCTTTTTTATACTTTTCTTCTTTCTTTTTAGCATTCTTTCTTTCTTTTTTATACTTTCTTCTTTCTTTTTAGCATTCATTCTTTCTTTCTTTCTTTCTTTCTTTCTTTCTTTTGTATGCTATTCTTTCTTTTTTTATACTTTTCTTCTTTCTTTTTAGCATTCATTCTTTCTTTCTTTCTTTCTTTTGCATGCTCTTCTTTCTTTCTTTCTTTCTTTGTTTTGTATGCTATTCTTTCTTTTTTTATACTTTTCTTCTTTCTTTTTAGCATTCTTTCTTTCTTTTTTATACTTTTCTTCTTTCTTTTTAGCATTCATTCTTTCTTTCTTTCTTTCTTTTGCATGCTCTTCTTTCTTTCTTTCTTTTTTATTCTTTCTTTTTTTTTCTTTTCTTCTTTTTTTTTTAGCATTCATTCTTTCTTTTCTTTTCTTTCTTTCTTTTGCATGCTTCATTCTTTCTTTCTTTCTTTCTTTTGTTTTTTTTTTATGCTATTCTTTCTTTTTTACTTTTCTTCTTTTCTTTTTTAGCATTCGTTCTTTCTTTTTTATACTTTTCTTCTTTCTTTTTAGCATTCATTCTTTCTTTCTTTCTTTCTTTTTCATGCTCTTCTTTTATACTTTTCTTCTTTCTTTTTAGCATTCTCTCTTTCTTTTTTATACTTTTCTTCTTTCTTTTTAGCATTCATTCTTTCTTTCTTTCTTTCTTTTTCATGCTCTTCTTTTATACTTTTCTTTTCTTTCTTTTTTTTTTCTCTCTTTCTTTTTTTCTTTTTTCTTCATTCTTTTTTATTCATTCATTCTTTCTTTTCTTTTTTCATGCTCTTCTTTCTTTCATTCTTTCTTTCTATTGTATGCTATTCTTTCTTTTTTATACTTTTCTTCTTTCTTTTTAGCATTCTTTCTTTCTTTTTTATATTTCTTCTTTCTTTTTTTTCATTCATTCTTTCTTTCTTTCTTTCTTTCTTTCTTTCTTTCTTTTTGTATGCTATTCTTTTTTTTTTATATTTTTCTTCTTTCTTTTTTAGCATTCATTCTTTCTTTCTTTTTTTTTTTTTTTTCTTTCTTTTGCATGCTCTTCTTTTTTTTCTTTCTTTTTTTCTTTTGTATGCTATTCTTTCTTTTTTTTTATTCTTTTCTTTTTTTTTAGCACTTTTCTTCTTTCTTTTAGCATTCATTCATTCTTTCTTTTCTTTCTTTTTCTTTTTTTTATACTTTTCTTTTTATTTTGCTCTTCTTTCTTTCTTTTTTATACTCTTCTTCTCTCTTTCTTTTGTGTATTTATCTTCTTTCTTTCTTTTTATTCTCTTCTATTTCTATCTTTTGTATGCACTCTTTCTTTCTTTCTTTCTTTCTTTCTTTCTTTCTTTTGTATGCTATTATTTCTTTTTTTATACTTTTCTTCTTTCTTTTTAGCATTCATTCATTCTTTCTTTTGTATGATCTTCTTTCTTTCTTTCTTTCTTTCTTTCCGGCGTAAACTTATAGTTTTCTTTTATATGCAGTTCATCTCATTTTCTTTCATTTCAATTCTCTTTTTCCCTCTTTATTTTATGAATCTTCTTTTTATCCCATTTCACAATAAGAACCCCCCCCACCTTTTTTTTGCATTTCAGGTTTGCCTTTCCTTTTATTTCTTACAAGGATTCTGTCATAGGAACCCACAACTCATATGTGTTTTCCTAAAAAAAATTTTCTGATTATTCTATCAATAAAACACACAAAATTTTAATTTCCGGACATTTTTTTCAGCAAACAAATAACAACTACACTGCGCATGTCTGCTCCGGTTATCATTATCAAGATATTACAATCTCTGTTTTGTTCTTGCTTCACTGCTACGTGCTGTTCCTCCTAGTACTATTACTACTGTTCCTCCTAGTACTATTACTACTGTTCCTCCTAGTACTATTACTACTACCATCACTACTAAAAACAACATCATCATCAATAATAATAATAACAATGAACAGGTTTGTCACTGTTACAATCTTCACTACAATATTGGCTTTTTCCTCGCTTCACTAAATTAGTAATAATAATAATAATCGGTGGGATATTCTTAAACAAAGAGATGAGAACTTGTAGATTGTAGAATTATCTGTGCCAGCGGAACATCGAGTGAAGACAAAGGATAAAAACAATTGGAAAATTCCAAGACCTTGCTTGGAAGCTAAAACCTTTGAGACGTGAGATTTATTATTGTTTCAGTATTAGTTGCTAGATGTTCAGCCAGAAAAAGACGCTAGAAATGCGATTTTCTGAACTGGAGACAAAATATTATTATTATTATTATTATTATTATTAATAATAATAATAAGAAGAAGAAAAAGAAGAAGAAGAAGCGCCTCATTGGAAGTAGATGGGCTTAAATAAATATCTCATTCAGTTTCAAGGCTAAGCTTTGTGTTAGTTGCCAAATATTTAACAGTCTCCTTGGGACTGGAGCACTTTCTATCTCTGTTTCTTGAGCAGAAGTAGTAGGGGGTCATCATATCAAAGTGTAGAGAAGATTAATTTCTTTGGAGGATGTGGAAGCCAAGTCACATCTAGATATTTGAGAACACCGTCAGTGGGTTACCAGAATTGGAGGTATTTCCGACTAAGCCCCACCCGCCCATGTGCTACTTTCATCAAAATCTGTCACCACATCGCACACATTTCTCATGACTGGGTATATTCAGGTTTGTATATTTATAGCCTAGCGTCACCAGCGTTCTGTTCTCTTAACCAATAATAATAATAATAATAATAATAATAATAATAATATTTTGTTAGTCCAAAATGCAGATTCTGTGATAAGTATCCAGAAATAATTGACCATCTTGTATCAGGTTGGGCGGTATTGGCACCTACTGAATATAATACACGGCATGACATAGTGGGCCAATATCTGCACTGGAAAATCTGCAACACTTGCGCAAAGGAAACTGCAAGAAATCGGTATGGACACCAACCAGACCCGATTACGGAGAAAGGGTCTGTAACAATTTTATGGGACTTTACAGACAGACAGAACAATCGTCTGGCATCGTGATTAGAGACCGCAAAGACAAAATGTGCCTTCTAATTGACATGGAAGTCACTACAGACTGCAAGGTATCTTTGAAGATCTTCAGAAAACTATGAAAAAGGACCTTGAAATCGAAATCTCAAGAATGTGGCGCATGAGGACATTAACAATTTCAGTTGTAGTTGGAGCCCTCGTATGGATTGGAAAAGATTTCACTGGAATCATTGATAGAATCCCTGGTAGCCCATGTTTTAACGAAATGCCAAAAAAATGTACTCATAAGTACAGCCCACACCTTATGAAATGAGTTATCTATGCAATACTGTGTGATTATGTGTGATTTCATTTTTTTTTTTTTTCAAATCTGCTTAGTGGAAAATGTTATAGCGCCATTTCTGACCTTAGGTCTCTGGTCGGGACCCGGAAAGAAATGTGTATATACCAGAAACCAAAGGAAGTAAAATGATAATAATAATAATAATACATATATAAGAAAGTGAAAGAATACTTAAATAACTCGAGGGAGCTATGGCTTTTTTACGGCTTATCAACCCTTTGTGGATTATTTAAAGCAGAAACATACATCAGGATTGTAAGAATTTTTTTTTTCACGAGTGAATATTTTTAGCGAATAACAATGATTTTTCCAGATACAAATTATAATATTTAACCCATACCTGGTGGGAGATATATTTATACTTTCCCCAAGCATATTTGCACGTAGGCGAATGTAATAAACACGACTGGAATTCGAACATGGTTCTCACTTGCACACCATGTACATTTTGAAACATGAAGCTGATAATCATGCCAGATTTTTAAAACTATTTTTCACCTAATACAAGGCTCAAGAGCCATTCAAAGTAGAGTGTTATCAAAGAATAATGTTGTAAAGTTTTAAAGAGAAGAGGAAGTAGAAATATGTGTACATTATGAAGATATGCAAGATAGATATCAGTTAACCCTTGACTTGAAGAGATTAAGATTGTAGCAATCCCGGAAGCATCGTTTCAAGAGTCTGTTCCACAAAGTGATAGTTCTGACGAAAAAGTTCATTTTTATGAGAAGAATACGAAGAGAATGAGCATGATTTGATGCTATGTACGTGGCATGGGGAAGCCAAGATTTTTCGAAGTTCTTAACTTAGTGCGACTAAGAAATATACATCTTATTAGTATATTATATATATTTGTCATACTAATAATGACTAATATTTGTCATACTAATAGCGATAGAGCCGTGAGAGTCTACCAACGTTTCGTCTGTGAGAAATAGTGTTAAACGCTATATTGGCGGGGGGGGGGGCGTAATGGTACCGAAAAGCTTGAGAGAAAGGTTTGGGGATATGAAAATCAGAAAAGACAGGACCATCTTCCTGATTTTTGCCATTAGATTCCATTTAGGATGAGACATTGAAGGCTGCCCTGAACTCAGTCACAAATTTCTTTCGTCACGAATTCTCGAAATAAATTCTTTGTTCTTTGCTTCTTTTATGTAAAGCGAGAAGAAAAAGACAAAATTTTTAAATGGTAACTGATTTTGTCGTAACTTCATATGGTAATAATAATCAGGATAATAAACATTTCCTTATAAGGAAGTATTCAGCAGACATTGATCGCATTCATTGACTAAGTAATTCGTGATATCGCCGGTTGAAATTTATAAATTTTCTCTATTAAAACACTTTTATTTACAATCCGGTAACTGTTATCGCTCTTTCAAGTATTTGATTGAGGTTTCCTTTCTAAGCTTTTGTTTGAAGTCGTGTGAAATGTCAGCACTTGATTTAACTATTTTCTCTTCAAGTTAAATGTGCTATTCATTTCAGTTGTTGCTACTGTTGAAAATCGTCACGTGATGCGGTTTCTTTTATTTGGTAAAGTTCTTTTGTTTGTGATTCCGTAGCGCCAGTTCACAAGGTTCGGAGAAAAATGATCGTCGCTGAAAGCCATTTTAAAACTTTCATCTGAAGAATCGGTTGTATACAGATATCAGTTCAGTTATTTCTGAAAGAGTTTCGTCCCATACATGACATCCACTTGAAAGGCTATTGCGAACATGACTTGAGTTATGTTAATTTTTTGGTTATGCAGCAACTTGCGGTGTTGTACGAAACTAGTCTTAGCGCAATATTAAAATTTTCTATGTTTCTATGTTCATTTCCCTTTATTGAAGCCATTTTTGTAGCCTTTGATTTTTTTTTAATATCTTAGGCATGTAAACGAATTACTAAAGTTAGAGGATTTGAAAAGCAATAGAGATCTTGAGAGACACTTCGCACATGTCTTAAACATTGCGAAAACATGATGTTGTAACCTAGGGAAGGTTATTGAACAACGCATATAAGATTCGCCAGCGGCGCGTAGAAGTAGTAGTCAACTGCTAGAAGTAGGTCAAGTGAATTCCACAATGAATCTCCAACTGCAGCATATCTATCAACCGCACCACGCGGTCAGATGTGGCACAAGGCCGAATTAAATGTGGGTATCCGAGCTCGTAGGCCCGGCCAAAAATTCCACGTAGTCCCCGTATAAAATGGGGTTGGGTAGCTGTCTCCCGAGATGAGACTTTTTCCTTCGACATAGGCTCGTCTGCGGATCCTCTCTGCCCGGAGGCAGAGAGTTTGACGAACACATCTGGAGACGAATCTCCAATTCTAGATCAACATACAGTATTTACTACTGTATTTATGTGAATGGGGACATACTTATTATTGTCCGTAGGTATGCTACAACACATGACACTAGGAACTTTTGCATCAACTTAATAATAATAATAATAATAATAATAATAGTAATAATAGTGAAAAACAGAGTAAGAAACAATCACTTTCTTGTATTTCTCTTATCTTTCCTCATTGAAAGCAAAATGTTGGATTTATCTCGTGAAGTTATAAATTAAAATATAAATAAACAGGGCGCTCTACATTTAAACTTTTTGCTATCACAGATTCAAAGTATGCAAGCAAGCCACAGGTCGAAACAAAATATCTTTATAGCCCTTTTTAAATTCCTGCCCTGATAAGGAGAGAAATTAATGTCTTTGACTGATGATCATTGTTTTAGTCAACTGGAATCGGCAGTACCAGATATTTGGCCATCGAAGATTTTACAAGTGCACAAACGTTATGGTGTCAGATATTATTATTCAAGCCAATGTTTTCAAAATAAAATTGGCATTAACCATCTGATGCTGGTAGAATTTTCAGGTTACACGTATATGATAAATATAGTACGCCTCTTTTAGCACATGCCCACCGCCGTAATGCAGTTTCTCTGCGTTTTTTTTTAATAATTTTTTTCATGTTAATTGACTCTATGAATTTAATCGCAGTACTAAATTTGCGCAAGGTGTCATCATTTCATAAATAAAATGGCTAGATAAAAGTTCTATGTTTACAACTTCTTTCTTCTCACTCTCGCTTACGAAAATCTCTTTCAGTTTCTTGCTTTTCAGTCAACTTTGAT